AAAAAGGTATACAAAAAAATTATAAATTAAAAATTGTCACACTACTCACACTTTGAGTTTGGTGGAAAAAATCAAAATGGAAAGTCTATATTATAAAGTAGGAAATCCATATCTGTTTTCAGAATTTTCATCGCTTCGCTAGACCACGTTGCGCGTTTGTTAGACAATCACTGAAAATCGTCTCCCTCAATTATACTATTATACTGTTTCATAGATATTTATTACATTGATTACAGTTTATTGTATAAAATAAAAATGTTGACGGAAACGTCATTCAATATAAAATGATGAGAGAAATAAATTACAAAGAAATGTTATGTTACAACCGCACATACCTATATTTTTTCAGTACGACACAATAAAATTGTTCTGAAATTGATAAGAATTTAAAATGTTACAGGTTACCTATTAGGGTTCCATAACAAAAAACGGAACCCTTGTAGATTCGTCATGTCTGTCTGTCTGTCCACCATGGTGTCACAGCCTCTTTTCACCGAAATTATGAGAGCTATACTGATGAAACTTGGTAAGTAGATATGTCCTATGAACCGCATTAATATTTTCACACAATAATAGAAAAAAATAAATACATTTTGGGGGTTGCCCATACTTAGAACTGAAACTCAACAATTTTTTTTCATCCACCCATACGTGTGGGGTATTTATGGATAGGTCTTCAAAAATGATATTGAGGTTTCTAATATCATTTTTTTTTAAACTGAAAATTTTGCGTGAGAGACACTTCCAAAGTGGTAAAATGTGTGTCCTCCCCCCCCCTATAACTTCTAAGATAAGAGAATGATAAAACTAAAAAAAATATATGATGTACATTACCATGCAAACTTCCACCGAAAATTGGTTTGAATGAGATCTAGTAAGTAGTTTTTTTCCAATAAGTAAATAAGTATATAATAATAATAATAATAATAATAATAATAGTAATATATATATATATATATAATATATATCTATTTTGTCGTGTATATATTTAAAAATGTAATCTCAATCACGGGCTAAGATGGACTAAGATGGGCTATAATGCCATAATGGACTGAGAATTGGTATAAGACTTCTGCTGAACCTGGTGGTGGGGCCAAAGTTCGTGCCAGGCCGAACGAAACGACTTATTATTTATGTTACTTGCTGCTACTTGGGCGCTTTTTTTATTATACTATCAATTGGTTTTATCGAGTTATGGCGAAAAATAGGTACCCCACATACCACATGTGATATGTATATATCATAATATATTAATTATGAACAGTGTTTACACTCAAAGTTGAAAATTGAAGCATTACAGTACCAAAAGGTGATGAAAATCAACCAAAAAAAAAAATTAATTAATCAATATAATAAAAAAACCACGTCAATGTAAGACCAATAGTTACATTATATGTTATCGTTTGGGTAAAAACGTTTGTAAACGTATTAATATTATGGTAGCGTAGTGCGGACTCATTCTTTGCGACAACGGCACCAATCTAGGTATATAATAATTGTTCTGTAGTAATGATTTATTAAATATTTAGATGCAAATAATATCTGATATTAAGCAGTCGACCGGAAAAGGTAGCACCTAACCTGATGGTTCCAACTAAATAAAAAAAAAACCATCGCGGGTTTAATTCTTGACAGTTTTTTTTTTTACCGAGACATATACGTCATAAAATCATCGCAGCAAAAGTGTCTCGGAATAACCAAACCGATGAGACGTCATCGCCATAACAATATTATTACAAAATATACTGATAAATAACGTCCAAATAATAATAACAAGATGCGTACAATGCACTCGACGAATAATATAATATACGCCCCCAGAGTTTATACATTAAAAAACCTGTCAATCCGAGAATATCCGATGTATTTCCCGTCCGGGGAAAACGAACGCGAAAATATTCAAATATCAAAATAATAATAATAATATGACAATAATAATAATATTGTGTACAAGGTATAATATTATTATAATATTTGGTAAACGCGCTCGTAATGCTATTTATTACACCACGTCGGACCATCGAGATAAACATTCTTTAATTTCCTCCGGCGCTGACGGTGAAAAGTTTTTCACCATTTCGAGAATTTGATGGATTTAATATAATAATTTAATGTAACTGTATATATATATAATATTATGTTTTTATTTTTTTCGACAGCTCGCGTTTTCTTTGCGTTAACCATAACGCGTTTAACGGGGAACGAAAAAAAAATCTTCGACGTCAGCGAAATCGCAAACTTATTGTATTATATATAATAATATAATATGCTCCAATATATAATAATATTATATAATATTGTATACGCGTTGAAGCTCTCCACAATATATAACATTAATATATTATATAGGTAGATGGTACTCATGGTAGGTACATACAAGAAGCTGAGTTCGTTTAAAAGTTTGTTTTCCGGCACACTCGGTCAATGGTATAATTTAATTTATATATATTGTACAGGGCAAACACGCGTATTATTTCGCTATTAAATAATATATTTTCTTCGCTCACCGGTCATTACTGCTGCAGCGGTTTGCCCGACGGCGAGTGGCGATCAGTGGCGGCGGCGGGTGTCGAACTCGGACACGTCGCATTTACTACGCACAATATCTTATAAATAATATATATATATCATTATTACGATCGATCACAATGGGCCGTAATCATTACGGCGGTGCGGTTCTGTTTATTTTCTCCCTTTGCCCACGCTGCGGCGGTGCCCACACGGAAAATAATATGTGGGAAAAAAAAATCCTGGAAATATTCAGCCCGTAATTCGATTGAACCGCGTACGCCCCGGAAAAAGTTTGCTCGTTTGCGGCGGAAATCGACGGGACACAACAAATATTGCTTTACAGAGATGATTACACTCGACGTCGGCGGTTTTTAAAAGTCATTCACCGAGCTCCGGAACATGGGAAAAATGTTTCCCCGAAGTTTTTATGCACGCGCGGAGAGAGAAAAAATATGCTCCGGATAAATATTATTGTACATGTATACATGCGTGATTATAATATAAATTTGGTTCTGTATACCGAAAAAACTTACTCCTCACGGTTTATCAAAAGACCTGAAAACTTCCGATCAATACTAAAAAATTGTCACATACGTGTGTGTGTGTGTGTGTGTGTGGGTGTGTGTGTATGAGGAGGAATCCATCGAAAATTCAGTTTAAAATCACACATGGGAATTGAATCATAGCGGTAAACAGCACACGTGGAAGCAAAGGGTGCGTCAATGTAATAATCTCGTGTGGTTCGGTCTCCGCCGAGTCGTTTTCATAGTGTTTATTTATTATGAATTACAATATCATTTTGCGCCTGTTGTAGACTGTGGTATAAGTATATATTCTATTAAATCGTCATTATTTATTACATATTGTGACCACTCCATCTTCTATATAAGTATTCGATTGTATAATTTTTGGTATATCTTTGTTTACCCGGTCCATTATTAATATTACGACTATTCAATAAGGATTCACTACAAAACATACTATCAGGTCTAACGGGATATAACTATATAAGTACCTATGGTCTATATCCGCTCTCATCGAAGACACGAATCATGTTTTATTATATTCTTCGGTGTATTTGGTAATGGATTAACAAAATTCTGTTATTTTAAGTGCCCAGCATATTAAATATACTGACTATTACGTCTATCTAGATAAATAATTATTTATCTCGTGTAGATAATTAAAACAATGCTTATCTAATTAACTATTCGTCAGTTATGAATACGAAATTGTTACAAATTTTAACTTATTTGTCTAGATAACTAAATTTCAATAATATTTTTTTGAAAAATATAATTTGAAAGTTGAGAGCCATCACTTTAGTAGTGTAGTGTTACTCCTCTTTGAGTTACATAATATTATCAATATAGGTATAAGGTGATTGTAGTTTATCAATGTAATATACATACACGTCTTCTATATTTTTACAGTACAATTTGGGAAAACCAAGGTGGAGGGTATTTTATAATTACCCTCCGCTCCGGTGTGTGTGCGCCACTGAATGTATTAATTGATAAATACTGGAAGGTGTGTTTTCACCCATCATCAATCGATTCCGGAGGTCTAGGAGGATTTCAGTCATTTGTTGTCAGCATAAAGCACTGATATGGATTATTAAAGATGTAGTTTATTATCTATATCTGTGGCATAAAGACATCGATCCTCTGATCATATACTAGTATATTATTATGGTCTAAGCTTTGATCGCAGTAGTCATGGGGCATGGAATTATGTAGCCATAGACATCATGTCTTCTTCTGTTCACTACGTGTCAGGGTAATAAGTGTACAATTATTAAATTGCAATTAATTTAGAATAATATTTGAGTTGATTAACTTTTTGTAATATTGATAATCCATCGTAAAAATATGTTTGGAAAATATGGCTATGATAATTTAAAAATTGATAATATTTAATAATCTTTCCACATTTTATAATTTATAAAAATTATTTGAAAAGTATAACAAGTATAGGTAGGGGACGCCGGGGCTAGTTGTCACACATTATAATGTATATATTATATATATATATTTTAAGACAATTGTAATTTTTCAAGTGTTGTATGCCCCATTATTCAAAATACCATCTAGAGAACATATATAAAAAATTAGTAAACACTAACATTAAGTCAGAATTCATTTTTTAGATTAAAAAATAAAAAACGAATTTGTGACAACTTAGCCCGCTTTTGTGTCTGTTGTCATATCATCACGGTTTTAGGTGTCCCAGGCATAGAGTAATAATTATTACTCTATTACTCTATGGTCCCAGGTAAATCGGATGATAAGCGGATAAGCCACATAAACTTTTCGTTGTCAATTGTGTGTGTGTCAAATTTAGAATTACCTACTATAGATACAAATTAATAAAATGCATAGATATAAAACAATATGAGAAACACAATAAACGTAAGGAAAAATTACACCATATATTATTATTATTTACAAGTATGAAATAACGGGGCGTGTACAACGCATTAATATTTTCTACTGGTTATCATCCCACTCGATATCGACTTGCAGGTGATTCCGGACGGTGCCACTGTTGCTGACATCGAAGGCCGCTTCACCTGTCCTCGGCTTCTGATCACTTCCTGGATGGACGGCGACGTAGACGGTGACCCGAGCAACATTGTCGCGGCCGACTCGGTCGTTCTCGCGGCGGAAGCGGTCACGTCGCCGTACTCGAGGAGGCCGTGGCCACGACAGTGGTGATACGCATGACGCGTTATTTCCGGCGACGCGTACTCCATCCCCCGACCCTCGTAGGTCGTAAAATCTCGCCACTAACGGCGCCTGTTCTCCGCTCCCGGAATTATGATCGCCACTCCCGCGATTTCCTGACGGCGTTAGCTGCCGTGTGCCGCAGCCGTGTGCCGGACGACCGCACTCCTCCTGGTCGTCCCTCTGCTCAAGTGGTCTTGAGCCCCATCTTCCTTGTCCCGCTCCTGCTGCTCCGCCGTCTCTCGCAGTAGTGCCACTCAATAGTGATGAGGTGTCGGACAACAGTTCGTAATATTTCACCAGCTCCGATACCGAAGGACTGGATGCACCGCGATTCCGTGAACGGAAGAAGTTGATCGCCGACATGGTATATAACCGGACACGCTTATAGACTATAAGTTATAACGGTATAATATTAAATTGTAAGAAGCTGAGGAAAAATATTCGTCGGTGCTCGGGCGCTGCAAAATAACAGTGATAATAATATTATAATAAACTGCAAACGGTTTATTTGTGTATTATTACATAGTGAAACAACATTGCATAGTTACTCTATGGTGTATAATTATAAGCAGCTATATATTATAATAAATACCACGGACTATTGCTCAATTAAAAATAATTATAATTTATTGTTGAAAAATGTTGAAAACGAATTATAATGAATACAAACCAACAATATGCCCATGCGATACAATTGATACATATTATTTGCAACTCGTTTACTATTGCATTGCCACACACCCAAACATGATATTTGCAGAATCACCTATCCTCATATATTATATATTATATAGATACAATTACCTACATGGCTACATCACGAATGTAAAACCAAAATGGTGGGCAAGTGTGTAACGCTTTGCTGTACAGAAGGTAATGATATTTGAATTGAAAAATATGATTAATTATTGCATACGAAAGACGATTCTGAGCGAGGTCGGTCGAACATTAGGTAGGTAGGTACTCCACTACTCAGTATATTTTAATTATTAACTATTATTAAAGTATTTTAGTTACATATTAGGTAGTAATACAGTATGTTGAATTAACTTTTTCCTATTTTCCCCAAGCCCCAACATTGAATTAAAAAATTTCTTTGTACGTATAAGATAATAATATAACAATATAGGCAATAATATACTTTATGCAGATACAGAAAAAAATAATTACTTGCATAAAAAAATTGAATTTTAAAACTTATAATATTATAATGTAATATGAATATCTAAATAATCTATAAGTCCAACTGTTTTATAATTGTAAGCTGTAATAACTTTTATATACTTAAAAAATAAAAATAAATATACATATATATACTTTACAAGTTTCAAGTAGGTACCTTCCTACATTCCTACCCTAATAATACTTTTAAATTACAACAAAATAACTGAAATTGTTATTCTATGTTTAAATAACTAATTTCATCCAAATTCGAACTTGGAATATCTACGAAAAAATTGTGCATAATATATTATATTTTTTAGACAATAGATACCATTTAGATTTAGCTGTGCCGTATTTACGATATCCTTCTTGGGGGGAGGGGGATGCACTAACATAGGCTATAGGCTATATTTTTACTTTTTACAAGTAAACTTATTAATCAAAACAGACTAAAATTGAATAAAAATTAAAGAAAAAAAGGCTCAAAGAAGGGGGGGGAATATATCACGTAGATCACATTCTTCGATAAATACGCCAGAGAAAAAGAAGTATTTATAGCCGGAAAATATTCTTCAAATGTTATAAAAATTCAAAGTATTTGAAAATATAGTCCATAATTAAACTAGAAAATCAGAATTTGAATAAAAACATTATTAAAGGATAAAAGGTTGGGTTTGAGCAAGAGCCAAGAAGTATTCTTGGTGAATCACCCTGTATAATGTATGCATATATATATAATATCCTTCTATGAGCTTTCCAATCAATTAAGTTAAGCCACGCGTATATAAGTACACGCATTTTATGTATACAATATTTGATTATAGAGCACTATAACCACGAGCTTTCGATACCTCATTATACAAATGTGGTTTGATTGGAATTTTCCATGAAAAATATTTGTTGTATACATTATAGATACTCTCCGTAAACCTTAGGGATTAGAGACACTATGGTGCACAAATTATTAGATTATCATGACTCGAAAAATATGTGCTTACATTACTGTTGATGGATACCGTTTAGTTATTGTCTGTTTATTTTTTTTAAACCATATAACAAACGTGTTGCATCGCTAAAGTTTTGTTTGGCCATTGGTTTCATACAAACAAAAAAGTAATTTGAAACCATATATGTTTAAGTGTGCAGTATTATTTATTAAACAATTTTAAAACAATAATAAATCTTAGTGTTTAAAAATTATTCTAATACAGCTGAATTTACATATTTATTTTGATGATTATTATACAATTTAGGTTCATAGACATTTTATAAGTAGGTCATAAACAATAAAGTTGAGTAAAGATTTTCAAAATAGTTGGTATATACAGTGTGTTCACGCTAAGAGGTACCACTGAATATCACAGATGGGTGACATTGTATTGAAATGGGGTTTTCGGGAGGTGATAGGGAGCACATATTTTCAGACAAGTTTCAAATTTGTAGCTAACTCTGTATGCTCATGCGCAATACGACTTACTTTTTTTTAAATTTCAACCCCAGTTTTATTTTCCAGATTCAGATATGGTAATTTTTTTTAAACATTTATTGTATAAAAAGTTTTTTTATTTTTTCAAAACTGACCAAGTTAGAGTAAGTCAAAAATTGAATTTATGCATAATATGTGTTTAATGCAATTTTCATTTATAACCACTGGAAATAATAAAATAAGTGCCAAATAAATGTTTAATGGTTGACGGAGTGGCCAAGTGGACTAAGGCGTCGGTTGCGACGAGCACCCCGGCCGGTTCGAACTCTGCTACGGGGGGCATTTTTCTTTTGACAGTCACGGTGTCCGGAGAGAGAGTACGTCATCCCCCACCATGGACATGGTAGATACCTACGGGTGCCCACTTAAAAATTCTGGAAAAAAAAAACACACGTATAGGAATATGCCATGCCCAGATGGGGGATGTCACCATGTCGGCCTCTCTCTCCGGACACAGTGACTGCCAAAAGAAAAATGCCCCCCGTAGCCGGGTTCGAACCGGCCGCGGTGCGCGTCGCAACCGACGCCTTAGTCCACTTGGCCACTCCGTCAACCATTAAACATTTATTTGGAACTTATTTTATTATTTCCAGTGGTTATAAATGAAAATTGCATTAAACACATATTATGCATAAATTCAATTTTTGACTTACTCTAACTTGGTCAGTTTTGAAAAAAGAAAAAAACTTTTTATACAATAAATGTTTAAAAAAAATTACCATACCCGAATCTGGAAAAAAAACTGTTGTTGAAACATTCATTTGTATTAGAGTTACAAAAAAAACCAAAATCGATTTTGTGGAAAATCGACTTTGAGTAAAAATTAACGTTTTTCCTTAATTTTTATGTTGTTTTTTCCGGTGCTTGTGAAAACTATTCGGAATTTTAAAATTTGACCTCCCGAATGCACTAACTAGATTCACTTTCCCATCGAACAAGATACTGTTGAAGAAAATCAAAGCAGTTTTACGGCCACAAAAAAATTAAAAAAAATTAAAAAAAAACACACATCATTGTGAAATCAATACATTTATCGTTCCACTCAAAATCTAAAATAACATGATATCTAAATATTAAAGGTGGACAGCTGAAAACCGTATATTATGTATTTGTAAAACAGAGCCAGCAAGTACAATAATTATTTGCAAGTCAATTTCTTTTTTTTTTATTGGAATAATCATTAATAATATTTTAAACTTTATTGATTCTACAATGTTTTATTTAAAATATAGGTATAGAAAATTAATTTTAGAAATATGCGGACATCTGCAGGTCAAAACGACTGAAAGCTAAATATTCAAATAACATCCTTTTTTAACCTTTTTTTTTCTGGACGCCACTTGCTTACAACAGTTATAATTTAAGGTGCAATAAGTACCTAATATTATATAATATACATATATATGTACACAAGTTAATTCAACTTGTTTTCCCATTTCATCGGGTTTGATATTTGAAACGAACATGGTCCACTCCAAGCTGCAACAATTACGATAGGGTTAAATAATATATAAAAAAAAACACAGACCTCGTAACAATCGCCCTCCATCGATTGCTTGGATCCAATAATCGAAAGAATATGATCGACCGTTTTTTTCAATGCTAATAAGTATAAATTATAATAAAGTAATATCACACGCCACACGGAAACAAAAAAATAGTGATAATTTTCATTTTTATGAAATATGTTTTACCTGATGACATAAATAATAGTTTCATGTATACACAGTATATCTACCTATTTCGCAACAAAGAAATATAATCAAAATCGAGTTCCTAATTCGCTATTATTAACAAGATCGTACAATCATATTATATTTAGATTTTTGAGATCAATGAACAATTAATATAATAGCAAATGCTAAACAGTTTTCTTAACCACTTTAAAAATGTTGAAAAAAAAACCCAAAGTTTTCTATAAAATATTTGATACATTTTACTGTTATCAGAATTGCAGGTTGTGTGTGCAGTATATACCTATAGGTCTCGCCAGTACCGGATTGTGTAGCTGCCTCAACAGTTTGTGTGGGTTGCACTAAGTTTAACCCACTTAGTTTTGTAATTATTTAACAGTAAATACAGAAATATATTTGCAGTTTAAATGTACACATATTAAAAATGCATAATATGGAACTTTATTTTTCTGTGTAATATTACATTTTCATCAAACAAATAATATTATGTATTTTATACTTTTTTAATACGTATTGACGTGTGTAAACTGTGCATTCAAATCATGCGCAAGTCTTGAAACTGGGAAAAACAAATACAAACTTATTAAATGCCAATGTTGCTCTAGTTACTATGCTTTACACTTTTGAGTTATGAATTTTGTTGCTAAAATTATGTATAAACCATCTAGTTATCCAAAATAGTTTACCACCACCAAAATGTTTAAAAATATTTTTTATCTCAGGCACATCTTTAAAAGCACATTCAATCTTTAAAATATCTTAAAAGAAATCCAAAGACTATCGTACTTTTTCCATATTTTTAAGTTCTTGGTATAAGCTTGAGTCCAGATTATGCTATTAAAATTTCATTCAACGTATTGAAATGTCGGAATTGTCTTTTCATTCTAATCAAAATCAATTCTGGACTTTTGATGGATAAAACCCAAACCAGCTATAGGGTCTTCGTGAAGTTGCTACTTGTTGACGGTGAGTCCAGCACCAACAAGCAAGAAATAATGACCGTAACCATTTTCCTCCAA